CCGCCCCCCCAATTCGACAGGCGGGAGAAGGCTGCTCCAAGTCCCCTCTTTCTGTCGCCGGCAGAGGCCCACGACGCGCTCCACCATTTCTCCTGCAAGATGCTGACTCCGCGCCACTGCACCGGGACCTGCTCCTTCAAGCCCCCCTTGCTGCCCCAGTGAGCTCCCTCGCCCCCCCCAACGGGCCGGGCCCGGCCGAGGAAGCCGCCGCCGCCGCCGCCGTCCAGCTCGCGAGCGCTCTCACCAGGAAAGCCTGGGCAAGGCAGGCGCGCCGGCGACACAAGCCGCGCCCGCATCAGCCAGAGACACGTGTAAATAACCCGAAGAGAGCTGCGCTCCTCTTGCTCCGCCGCCGTGTACAGAGAGGTGGCCTCCGGTGGCTTCGCCGATCGGATCGGAACCGCAAGCAGAGTCCAAGACTTCCGACAGGACGGAGAGCTGTGGGGGCGGGGGCGGGGGCGGCCGAAGGGCCCCGGGCCCTCCCGTGTCCCCATCCCTCCCTCCAACATTGGGCCGGCCTCCGGCCCTCCTCCTCGTCCCCCTTTTTGCGTCCCCCTCTTTCCACCCTTGGGCAGACTTGGAAGGGGGAGGGGGGCCACCTGAGTGGCCATGTGCAATGGATAGAAGCGTACTGTGAGTTTTCTCCTCGTCCCGTATTCGTTAAAAGTTTTTCTCAAAAAAATATTTATTTCCTGGTTTATTTATGACGTAGTATTTATTTATTTTTCCCACTTTGTAAACTGTGGATGTATAACAGCACTTTAAAGACGCAGCCGGTCAAGGACAATTTGCATCTCAAAAACCATTCTCCCGCTCCACCCCAGGGGTAAAACTTCAAAGGACCAGATTCTGGGTTGCAGTGGTTGTTCCCGGAGAAAACTCCGATCTTCTGTCAGGTGAATTTTTGTTTGTTTGTTTCGCATTGGGTTTTTTTCTTTTTCTTTGCCGCTTTGTCCTTCTTTAATAAAAATACAACTTTTAAACAAACCAACAGACTTCCAAAAGCCTCGTGATCGGTGGCAAAACCTTAGGAAGGCTGGATGCAGGCTTTCAAGCCTCTGGACAGGTGTGCCTTGTCCTAATAACAGGCCCATCCGCCCGCCAATCAAGGTAGGAGAGGGCCTGTCAACTGGGAGGGCAAGAACAGGCACCAGTAGGATCAGGCAGAGGTGGACGGCTCTTGTGTGCAGGCACAGGTTCTTGTGGGCCCATCCCTGGCCTTCCTGGTTTGACAGAGCTGGGGGAACCCGCTGTGGCCAAGAGAGACCAGATGGATTGATGATGGACCCAGGATTCTCTCCCAGGCTGCTTCGGGGGTTTATTAGACTCCTTCCCTTTTGATGATGCTTTGTTTTAGGAAGTGTTGGTTGACCTGGATAAGCTTTCTATGACCTTCCCCTGATTTTAGACCAGACAAAAGAAAAGCCCCCTTTCCCAACCTTAAATGTCTAATTAGTCACTGCCTCCTTCAGGTTCAGACAGACTGAGTTGCGTCTTTCCAGGGTCTCCAGAAAAATGTTATAATCCAAAATGAGTTTGAGTGGGTCTGTCTGAATACAACCTGGATTCCTAGATTCCTGTCACACTGGACCGGCTCCAATAACCCAGGTTGAAACAGATTGAGAGAAACAAGGAGGCCTGTCTGTGCTTCATGAAGAGCCCGGGAGCCGGTCAGCAGAGGCTACAAGAATCACAGGATGGGGTGGCAAGTCCAGCCCTGGAGAACATGTTGCCCCACAACAGAAGAAGTGACGGCTCCCCATGTAACAAACCACAAATTTAGTACAACCTTCTTAGCAAAAACAAGGCTTGCCTGAGGAATATCCATAGTGAGCACTGCTAGAATCCTTTCATTCTTATGTGAGGACCCAGCATTTAGTAGAGAGTAGACAGCCTGGACTCATGAGCAAGGGGGTTCCAATCCCCACTGGGCTATGGAAACCTGGCGGTGGTGATGGGGTTGTAGTGGTAAAGGTTCTCCTTGACATTTTTTAGTCCCATTGTGTCTGACTCTAAGGGGCGGTGCTCATCCCCATTTCCAAGCCATAGAGCCAGCATTTGTCCATAGACAGTTTCCATGGTCACTTGGCCAACGCGACTAGACAAGGAACACAGTTACCTTCCCACTGTGGTGGTACCTGTTTATCTACTCGCATTTTTACATGCTTTCAAACTGCTGGGTTGGCAGGAGCTGGGACAAGCGATGGGAGTTCACTCCGTCGTGTGGATTCGATCTTACGACTGCTGGTCTTCCAACCTTGCAGCACAGAAGCTTCTGTGGTTTAACCTGGAGTGCCACCACATTTTACCCTGAAGTGGTAAAACCACTTATCAACTATGTCACCTATCTGGAAAGTCTTCTTCAGTTTGCTTTAAGGCTGTTTTGACTTGATAGTCCTAGATTTGACTTGATAGTCCTAGTATAAGAAATCTATCTGTAAGAGTGTATCTGTACTCTCTCTCCAGCAATATTAGAAAGAAAGCAGAACAGCAGCTTTAAAACAAATTTCTAGCAGCTCTTTATAGTCATGAAATCATGGGAGTTGGTGGGAGAGTGCATGGCGATTGACCATCACCTGCTTTGGACCCAGACACCTGGTCACCTCCAGGCCTGGCCTAAGACATTTTGCTGATCCTGGCAGAGTAATGAAGGACTTCCCTCAACAAGTATGGACGCCTGGTAAATTAACTTGAGACAGTGGCAGCCAATGCACAACTGTGGGTGGTGGGCTGGAAGGCACAGTAACCAACAGTGGGCATAACCAGGGCAAAAACAGGTGTACCCTCATATCATAGAAGCATAGAATCGTCGTAGGGACCTTGGAGGTCTTCTAGTCCAACCCCCTGCCCAAGGCAGGAGACCTATATGCAAAGGGTAGGCAGGCCGTTCATACAGAGAAGTTCATACAGATAACTTCTGCCTCTGATAAGGGAGGTAGTGGGATGGTCAGGCATAGCTAGGTAAGATAAAACCCCAGTTGCCTGAATGGACAAGCTGGCACTATTTTACAACCACAAGCAGCAAGCAAAAGTGAAGGAAAATCCACACACACTTATTTCCTTTCTTTGCAATTAAAAATACATTATAAATACAACAAATAACTAATAATTTGCTGGGTTTTCATGACACCCAAAGTCTGCTGTCTGGGGCTGCCCCCTCAGCTTCCTTCTCAGTCTGGCCGTGATCATCTCCTCCTCAGTTTCTGCAAGTGCAAGCAGTCTTGCAGAGTCGCTCCCCCCAACACAACTATGGAGCTCAAGGTAAAAGGTGCTTCTTGCTGCACGGGTCCTTAAGATGGATATTCTGGACTGCTTTTCCTTCTCAGCAGACTGCACATGTGCAAGCACAGATCTCTGTGCACATGCGTATATAGTGCAGATGTTTGTTAATTTAGAATATGTCTGACCTGTATCCTGAGATCTGAAGGTGGAGTACAACAAAGGTAACTTAAAGCAATTTAAGACATTTTGTAACAATTTAAAACCTAAAGATCTGATGTTATTTAAAATTATACGCTACAAAAGAATCCACCTGGCTCTATTCAAGCCAAAGTTGTTAAATTCCAAAGGTTTTTGTGAACAACCACATTCTAACTTGATGCTAAAATGGAATCAACATCATTACAAATTAAGCCTCCAAGGGAAGAACATTCTACTGTCATGACAGCACAACGCAGAAACCCTCTGTGGATCTCTTCACCAGTCTCCTGCAACAGTTTTCTCTCCTGCTAATTGCAATCACATCTGGAAAACCAATCTCTGATTTTGAGCTCAGTACATCTACTTGGAGTTTAAAACCATTGTTTCTTGTTGGTGCACACGTTCTTTCTTGTCTCTCAGTTAATGTACATTCTTTGAGAACAAGTGCTTCCTTAAAGTGCCTGCTTATTTGATTCATTTATTTATTATGCAGTGAGAGGTTAGCTAATTTCCTCCCCTGCTCCTTTCCAAAAGGATTAGCTTTAAAAAGGGCATTAGTGAAAGGGAGAGCAAAAAATAACATAATTTAGCAGTTTAAAGACTAACTTTATTTCATTATGAGGTTTTGTGGATTTTGTCTTCAAACTGCAACTGTAAGCAGTCTATGCAAAAAAAGCTATCATAGGCTTTGGGGAACATGAGGGGTGTCGTTGAATTGAATTTAGGGCTAAGAAGATTTTCCCAGGACTGCATTTAGTCTCCCCTTGTATTTTTAATTAAAAATATTTCCCCATCTTGATTATTTGGGAAAGTGTGGGTGAAGACAGACTGAAGACCACACAAATACAACTGGAAAATAATTTACGGAATTACACTTACGTACACTGACAGTTTCAGTTACCGCATTTGCTTGAAGATAGATGTGATTGAAAATCCTCTGCTCCATCAGCTGTCATGGGGAGAGAGCTTCCTTACCACATAAGTGAAAGGTTGTGTTTTTTTTGGAAATGAATTTTTCAGATTGCATGGGATAACCATCAATTGGCTCAGCATGATAGTGTTATCAGGTGTATGTTTGGATATGCTCACTGTACAACAAGTGATGCTAACATAGGTGTTGTCTAGATGTATTAGACTATAACTCCATATTATCCTCTCTCAGCAAAACCTGATGGGAATTGTGCTCCAGCACATCTGGCTGGCTCCAGGATTGTAACAACAACAACAACAACGATGAGCTGCAGAGCTGGAAGGGATCCTATGGATCAGTGAGTCCAGCCCCTGTCTAGGAAGCACAGTGGAGAATCAAACTCCCAACCTCTGGCTCTGCAGTCAGATACCTAAACCATTGAGATATCCAGGTGGGAAAGAATACTGAAAAGCAGTCCAATTGAAATGGAGATGTTAAGGACTCCCAAGTTCAGAGGTGTGTGGCTGCTGTTATTAGACTTGGCAAAGTCTGAGTTAAAGAGGAGACTAAGCAGGGAGGCTCTTCCCGCAGACTTAACCAAAGTGGCACGTTGCATGGATATAATGAGGACCTCCTCCAAGTTCTGTGCAGAAGACCTGCAAAATCTGGAGAAGAATGTTTTGGTTCCCTCCCTCCCTCAAACGTCTCTCACAGTGTCATGATGATGAACTACTGTTTCCTTTCTAAACATATTGACATTATTTAGAATTAGCTTTTGTGCCTTCATCACACAGTTGTAGCTTTAATTATTTTAGCCCCTTTTGATTACGCTAAGCAATATTTTCTTTCAATATACCCTTTGCACGGTTATGACACTACTTAATCCTATAAGAGTAAGACAGACCAAGACCAAGAGTGAGACATACCTTTGCAAGACAGACCAAGACCATTATCAATGCATGTCTTGTCCATTTTTTTAAAAAAAGAAAGAGTAGCATTTTAGTATTATAAAAGGAGAAAGTATAGCAGTAGAGCTACTCAGAGGGAAACCAATTCAGTCTATAGTCTTTCAAACCTGCAGTCACTGTGCAAATTTAGGACCTTTAAAAGACAATTTCAGCCTATATGCATACAATATTTTCAAACACAACTGCAGCTTATATGAGAGCATTAAGATGTAATTTCAAGCTATCTCACCTTTTTTCTTTTTTGTAAAAAAAAAATCAGAGATTTTCAAAAAATGTTTTTCTCAGATGAGCCCATTCTATGGTCAGAACAGACTGCAAAGAAGTAGCCATGCTACCTTCTCTCAGAGTGTTGTCAAAGTTAAACAGTCAGAAGGAAAAGAAGGAAATTTAAAAAGGTGGGGAAGGGGCAAAATTTTGTGGCATACTAATGGATATATTTTAGTGTGAGGTATAGAATCAAGTAATAATGGAGCCGTGTCTTGGATCAAACTCCACTGCAGCCAGGTATGAAAGCTAATATTTTAAAATGTTGTTTCTTTTTTACAATTCAAAACCAGCAGCATTAGATAAGGACAGAGAGCTACAACGACATTGAGGAAAAAAAATCCAGCATCATCTCAAGAGAAAGGGGCATGGCCTGATAATTTCGGATAACAAT